CCCCAACCTCTCGAGTCGGCGACACCATGAAACACGGCATATAAACCATTCAGCCACGGAGGTCATCTTTGCTTCTAACTCGTCATATACATTGTCACCAGCAGTGTTTCCGGACAAATACGACTTGAAATGAGCGCACTCCTTCCTTTTGTAATACTCCAGGTGTTGCAGGTGTCTATGGGCGACGGTGATCACTTACAAGTTGCGGCACGTAACTCTAGCGCTGAACAAATCGCGTCAGGGATAGCTGCGCATGGGTACGACTGGAGAGACAATCGGCGCAACGCACGCCCGCCCGCGCACCTCGTTTCCCCCCAACACATCTTAATTTTTACTTCTGCGCAAGAACGGTCAGCGCTAGTTTCGTGCATAACTTATACCATTAGGTCTCGTATGCTCGTATATATTATTAAAAAAAAACAGGGGCTCAAGTAAGAATTTTTCACAGTTCCGTTACGTATCGCATCGTAGAAGTTTCTTTCTATGATAATTAAGACGCTAAGTTCCGACAGTACCTGACGGAAGAACAAACTCTCTCTCTCTCTAAATTTAAGAGCTTTGCTTGCCCTCTGTCCTCCGCTAATGAGCACCAGGTACGGCTCGACGCCAACTTTTTCCTTAATTTGCTTAGTGTAGACTGTCCACGGTATCTCCTTCCCTCAATGATATTCTTTATGAATTCGTCGTGTCGCACAAGGTGGCTGAACAATCTTCTTCTTCTGTTCTCCAGTGTGTAGAGCAAAGCTCTCCGTTCATTCACAATGTCCAATACCCTTTCATTTGTCAGTTTCCCGGTCCAACTAATTCTTTCCACCCTTCGCCAGCACCACATCTCAAATTGCTTCCAATATTTCTACTAAATTCGACTATGATACGCTACGCATATATTAATGACTAGCGGCCCGCCCTCGCTTCGCTTCGGTGTAGAGCTGAAGTGTAGACTACAGTTTTTGTTCTCAGGCTTGTATTATACACAATGACATTCATCTATGATTCTTCTTATACCTGCATGCAAAGTCTCAGCCCGATCGGTTTAAAATTGACAAAGTTTCATACAAACTTTCATTCCCTATTTTATCCCCTTGGGGGTAGAATTGATCAAAATCCTTTCTTAGCGGATGCCTACGTCATAACATCTACCTGCATGCCAAATTTCAGCCCGATCTGTCCAGTGGTTTGGGCTGTGCGTTGATAGATCACTATGTCAGTCAGTCACCTTTGAGTTTTAAATATATAGATGATTCGATTCGTCAAAAATTCGTGCTAAGGCCACTGATTTCTGGTAAGTGGGGGTTTTTTTATATGATTTTATTTTCATGAATAAAGTCCGCAGTTATGGTATATTTATAGTGATATTCATCAGCCTATTAATATCCCCAGTGCAGGGGCACGGCCATTCAGCTACAGTGTGGATGGAATAGGGAGTTAGATTGGGCAATGACATTAGCCAACACGCAGGCCCAGTGCTGATTGCTGGGTGTTAACGACCGCAGAAGCAGCCGGGACCAACGGCCTAACGTGCCTTCCGAAGCACTCGGAGGAGCTCGAGATTACAAATTTTTGGTCACCCATCCAATTGACCGACCATTGCGGAATTTGCTAACTTCCACAATCGGGCCCCGACCGAGTTGGCCACTTACATCATTGAGCTCCTAGGGATTGAGATAAAAAAAAAGACAATTTAATTTGTTTGTCAGTAGTGAGTCACAAAAGATCAATTACGTCGCATGTTGTGTTTCATATTAGCAATTATTGTCTGAATCAATACAATTAGTGATATTTGAGCTCAGACGACACACGATGCATCGAGTCTCAAGTGTAATTTATGGTAGGTACTTGCATTGTTATTTGCATAGAATGGAACGAACGACAGAAAGGTAGGGAAGAATTGGAGTGCCCGTCTGGGGAAGTGCCCTCCACCTTTACAGGAGGACACAGTAAAATAACGCTACCTCATATTAGTGTTGTTTAATGTCCCAGGTGGAACTAACTTAATGAACCAAACCACTGTTCCAATTTCAAATAGAGCAGTGGCGGACTAAGCTCGTCTGAGGCCCGGGGCGGCAAAGCTGAATGAGCTGAAAATGAAATTTTCCCCCCAAATGAAATTTATATTCCAATTAAATTATTTCGGCTAAATAAACATACATACCTACAATATGGTATATATTGACTAGAAACGTAGGTGCATATTGACTAGAAATTACGGATTATGATATCTAGGCTAAATTTTACGAAGAATTACTTACTTTTTCCAAATACTTTAAAATGCATTAACTCAACTCTAAACTCATTTACTTTTATACCGCAACAAAAATCAAAAACACTACATATTACACTTTTTAATGAGGTTACTTTGAACGGATTTTAAATGAGGCCAATGTTTATTTTTCGACGTTAATATAGTGAATGTTAATAAATGTAGGCGTACAAGAGTAGGAGTTCATTCATTCAGGGATTCCTGAGGAAGTACCCGCTACAGAGACGGGAATTCCCCCAGCGTATTGGACGCGTTCAGCGAAGTAAAAAGAAAATTAGTACCGCGTAAAAAGTCTAGATGTCTGTAGTGTTTTGATCATGATGAAATTGTGTTGGAATTGGAATTGGTGCTAAGCACATTTTTAAAGTCTAGTTTAGGATTTGATCAGGGTGACGCGGAGGCATTTGGGGGCCCCCCAAGATCGGAGGCCCGGGGCGGGCCGCCCCTTCCGCCCCCCTGTTAGTCCGCCACTGAAATAGAGAGAGCATTTTTTTTTTGAGTTTATATGCTGTTGGTCGCACGTGACAGTACAGTGCTTACTTTGGGGCAAGCTAATTGGTGCGAGTGTTGGAAATATTTATTTATTTATAGAGACGGATTGAGTGTAGGGTAAAGGACACAAGGTAGTTGTTATTTTAGAAATCACCCGTTAAGGGGGCGAAAAGGGAGTTCCAAGTTAGTATGGGAAAATTTTCCATGCAGACGAAACCGCGGGAACCCATTAGTCGTTCATAATTTCGCGAGCCTATAATAATTACGTAATATTAAACCAAATGTGACGTGTCGTGTATTATCTGTTATCCACTTATCATTGTTGTACGACCACCCGTGGAAATATATTGGCTTATTGAATGTTTATGGGCACAATAAACTATGTAATTTTGCCAACCTTCATTATATTGAACTTGGCGGTAGGAACGATAGCAAAACGTTTGCGTGTTACTGGAAAAAGTTGGTATATCATTATTTGTTGCTTGGCACCTTTTTTATGAAATTTGTTTAAAAATTCGAACTTTTCTTCAATAACGAGGCATTCAAATCGTCAGTCTATTGAACAGGAGCTACTGGATGGATCACGTTGGGGCGGCAAGATCTACATGCCCCACATATAACCAATGGAGGAAATAATCACTCGCCTCTTCAAGAGATGGCGCTACCGGCGCTGCGATCAATTAGTATGGAAGCCTACATCGCGCAAGTTAAATTCGGAGGCTTAAGCATTGTCCTAATACAACGCGATAATGCGATCATCGCGCGTTTAAACGACGCGACCATCGCGTGATCGCGATCTGTGTGTCCTAATAGAACGCGAATACGGAACGGGTTAGTCCTGCCCCTCTCCCCGCTTCCTATCGACGCGACGCGATCATCGCGCGAACTTCAATTAGGACACCTATTCATCATTAATAGGTTTGATTGCTATTCTTATACCTCTATGGATATTATGCATGGTGTTTTGGAAAATGTAAAATGCATTATTGCTGACGTTCCCAAGGGCGTTTACCTAAAGTAAGTACGTGTTTATCACAAACAGAGAAAGTACTGAGTTTTGGTAAGATGTTTGCGAACGAGACGGAGCGATCGTGCAGCCAATAACACAGCCAATTGTTCGTTTATATGTACTCTGTTGCTATTTCTTTATTTTATTTTTTATTGATGAAAAAAAATATACAATACCCTTAGCATGAACCAACATCGAATTCGAATAGTTTGTGAGACCGAAATATCATAATTGCTATTCATATCATCATCTATAATTGCTATTTCTTCTTTCAAATGTTTAATACTTGTAAAAGTATTCATTTGACATTGTGGATTACCTATAATGCGAAGAGATGGCGCTGCCTTGCAGCTTATGAATGGCTAGAAGAATTTCGACGCGGTCCGCGAGGGCCGCGGTAGCATAATTGGTCAGTGCATTCGCCCGGATTGCGAAGGGTGCGGGTTCGAGTCCCGTCTACTGCCTGGTCCGCGTGGACTTTTTTCTAGTTATATTTTCTTTAGATTTAAACATCAAGCAGTTACATGCTTTCAAATAATAATAATAAAAAAATATATATAACAAAATATCATTGTCAAATGTGTACTGATTTTTAGTTCTCGTTACGTACTTTGTGCCGCTGCTATTCAAGTTTCCATACAAAATTTGACATTGACATTTCGGTTTGCTAATAGGTAGGGTAGGTAACATAATGGTTCTTGCTAGGGGTACTGATTTTCAGTTCTCGATTCTCGTTCTCGTCTAGTTTTCGTCGTGTTCGGTCCCTCTGTGTCGGTTGTTCGGGGAATCTATTCAGTACTTGTGCGTTATGATGCACTTGGAAGCGATACATGTTGGCGAACAAATTAGTCACGGGCATAATCCCCTCATTTACGTAGGTTATAAGTGTCGCCGCACACGGGCCACCGACCACAACCACAAAACGCCGCCACCGGTATATTCTTGTAGTTTTCATACATTTTATATGGACTCGCCACACACGGTACGCCGTTGGCCGCCACACGCTACAAATCGTCGTTGTTCGCTTCTTGTGGCCGCACCGGCCACTTAATGCACCGATACAAAACGCCGCCACACGTCACTCGCGCGATTCCCCACCCCTCTCTCCCTTACCTTAGTCGGCCGCTGTCGCGCGCTTCAGCCACTTTAGTAGCCGCTTCTAGCTTCTCGTGGCGGCGTTTGTGGCTGCGGCGTGTGGCCTGTGTGCGGCGACACTAACATGAAGTTATTGGTACTCACGAGTAGGTATAAGGTCCCACGTCATCCACATGAAGTTTGTTATCCTTTCCATCCCTATAGTCCTGCCAGTTGGTATAGTTGAATACGTGCACCTTCATGAGAGGCTGCACGTTCGGCCTCTTCCATATTGAGTACGCAATCGAGTTGTTTCTGATCACCATGTTCTGAAACAAACAATGAGTAAATATTTCTAATGGCACTTCACTTGGCTATTAACTTTTGTCGACCTCCGTGGCCGAGTGGCTTGTACGCTTGGGGGCGCCTAAAGGAAATGCTTTGGAAAACGCTAGCACTTTCGATTTTATTTTGTTATTTCTGAACGCCGAAGGTTTTCAAATACCTCACGCTCAATTTTTAAAATTGTTATTACAAATACAAATGAAAAAAAAGAGCGCGAGGCATTTGAAAACCTCAGGCGGCTAGAAATAACAAAATGAAATCGTAAGCGTTAGCGTTTTCTAAAGCATTTCCGTTAGGCGAATGGCCTCCAGGTTTCAAGGTATCGTCTATTCGATATATGTCATCGGTTCGAATACCGATGGGGGTGGATGTTTGTGTGATGAATACGAGCATTTGTACTCCAGTCATGGATGTTTAATATGTATTTCTATATAAATATACTTATATATATGTGTATGTATCAGTATACGTATTTTGTCCGTTAGTATCCTATAACACAAGCCTGCAGTGCTTATTTTGGGGCTAGGCTGATTGGTGAGAGTGTTAGAAATATTTATTTATTATAACTTAAAAGTTATCTTTCGTAATGCAATATTAAATATTCTTGAAATGTGAACTACATAATTGTCGCCGCACACGGGCTACACGCCATAGCCACAAACGCCACCACGTGAAGCTAGAAGCGGCTACTTAAAGAAGGGCGGCTACTGAAGGCAAGGGAGAGAGGGGTGGGGAATCGCGCGAGTGACGTGTGGCGGCGTTTTGTATCGGCGCATTAAGTGGCCGTTGCGGGCCACAAGAAGCGAGCAACGACGATTTGTAGCGTGTAGCGGCCACCGGCGTAGCATGTGTGGCGAGTCCATAAAACATATATGAAAACTACAAGAAATATGCCGGTGGCGGCGTTTTGTGGTTGTGGTCGGTGGCCCGTGTGCGGTGACACTTAAGAATGTTATAATAATAATTGAATTGGTAATGACATATTTTGATTTAAATGTTGCTATTTCGTTAAAAGCTGAGAAGTTTATTACGCCTGTTCCTGTTGCCAGCTAAAAGATTCCCTGGACAGGTGGTAGGAAGAAATATCAGAAGGACGATTCGAAAGAGCTTTTAATAAGTATACTTGAACAAAGTTTATTTTCACTTAATTTCATACTTATTTGCTATAACTTGACAACAGCCTCTCCTTTTTATCCTCTAAAGACTGATGTCAAACAAATACAACCAGTCATCATCATCATCATCAGCCTATTAATGTCCCCACTGTTGGGGCAGGGGCCATCCCTATGGATGGAATAGGGAGATTGGGCCATGACCCACCACGCGGGCCCAGTGCGGATTGGCGGGTGCTAACGACTGCAGATGCAGCCGGGACCAACGGCTTAACGTGCCTTCCGAAGCACGGAGGAACTTGAGGTAGAAGGTTTCTGGTCACCCATCCAATGACCGACCACTGCGAAAGTTGCTTAACATCAACGATCGCAGCCGAACGCGCTAACCAACCGCGCCATTGAGCTCCTCTAACCAGTCATACATATTTTAAATGTTTTAATTAAGTTTTGATTTTTGTGAATGTTCGAAAATAATTTTAATTTAATAAATCAATAATAATTAATGTATATGACTGTTTTTTACTTGAAAATACATTTATTTTTACATTCTAGCTGCACGCAAGTCGCAGTTGGTACGATGTTCCATTTATTTTTGATATCATCGACAATAGTTTATGTTGAATAATGCATATTGAATATTTATTGCGTTGCCCCAATTTCCTGTATCGTCGACAGCTTGGCGATAAATTTTCTCTGTCGTACTCAATTGGTTAACTGATGATTATTGTGTCACATTTTGTTCAACAAAAAAGTCGCGTATTTTCGTTTTAATTTTAGTTTGCGTTACGCGTTACGAAAAGTGTGTTCAAGCGAGGCGAACGGGGGTTGAGCGAGGGATATAAGCAAGAGAAAAAAGAGCGCGCGCACATTATCTTTTTCTCTTTCTCTCATAGCTAGTAAATGAAATATGTATATTTTTTTTGTATTAGCTCTTCATATATGCAGAGAATGATATTTTTTTTAAGTGGCATTGGCTTATAAATGTGGAAAATAAAAACCGACTTCATAAAAATAAAACTTGAGAAATAATACAATAATTATTACTTGTATTTATACTACATTAAAAGTCAAATTAACATTTTTAATCGTTGTCATTTCTAACCATACATGTTGATAGATCTGGGGGCAAAGTGGCAATCGCTTAAGATTTATTTTTTTTATTTCTGACCGCCGAAGGTTTTCAAATACTTGTTATTACCAATGCAAAAAAAGAGCGCGAGGCATTTGAAAACCTTAGGCGTTCAGAAATAACAAAATTAAACTGTAAGCGATAGCGATAGCCATAGCAATCCTGTTGGGCAATTAGACCCCAGGTTTACGGTTTACTGTTTGGATCGGCCGTCATGGAAGTCGGTTTTCATTTTTGTTAAAAAAAAAATTTAAACTTGATTTTATTTCAGGTACCTTCATAAGTGATATCTTATTCATACTTACTGAGAGTATTGCATCGTTAATTGTGTTCGTGAAGCAGAAGAACACTGTGCCTATTAGACTGAGTACGAATGTTGCTGATAGAAGCACGAGTACTGGAACAAGGAGAACAAAACATACATTAATTACTTATAACAAATATAAATATGTTAAATATATATAGAAGTGATAACTTAAACTAATTTGGTAAATATGTAAGTAACTATAGTATACAGTATCAACATCAGAAAGTTGTTAAACTAAATGAGTACAGGAGATTGGTAGGTGAAAAGGGGATTCGAGGGTGAACAAGGGATTAGAGGACGAAAAGGGGATTCAGGGGTGAAAAGGGGATTCGAGGGTGAAAAGGGGATTCGAGGGTGATAGGGCTTTGGTGGGTGATAATAAGGGATTAGTGGGGATTGATGTGTGATAATAGAAGATTGGGCTGGGTCTGGAGTTATCCGTCTGGTACCAGGGGGCCATTCGCCTCGCTCGTCGGTCGCGCGTACGTCTCGGTCGATCTACGAGCTATGAGATTGTATGGATGCGATCAGTGCTTCACTGATGGAGCGAACGACCAAACGCGTACGTACACTCAAACCAAAAATGAATTTTGATACAGAGCGCCTTTTTACTGAAGTGCGGCTTCATCCGGCACTATGGAATTTATCGTAGGTATGTATATTATAAAGACCGTGATGCTAAAATAAGTGCTTGGCAAGAACTTTGTAAAGAATTAATTGGGCAAAAAATAGTGTGCATATATTACAGCAAAAGGGTTTATTTTTCTCGTGAACTGTTCACACGCGTCGCCGTTCGCCGTCAGCGTAGCACTGAATGCATTTTCGCAACCGACGGTCACAGTGTTACCAACCCTTACCAAAAATTTCCCCTAAGTATTTTTTAAATTCCCCTAAAATCCGCTAAATATAGATTTTTTATGTACCTACTAATTACCTAAATTCTTATAAATTAAAACGTTTCTTATTTAGTTACAGTAAATTATTTTATTGAATGAATGCCAAAAATGAATGGTCAGCCGTGAGTATGACGTGAACGAATGAAAGAACGAACATGATTGTAGTATTGTTGTTTTATTATTTAACCATTCCATTGGTGATAGGCAAAGAACTTTAATCCATACAGCATTAGGTAACAGACCACCACACAGTCAGTTCAGCGGTTTCATATCGTGGTGCGTTCCATTCTACGCACAAAACTGAAAAAAAACACATGCTTTGTTTTTCGATTCAATTGCAAGTTTTGTTAAATGCCCCTAAAAGAACCCCCAAAAAATTCCAGCCCCTAAAAAAGACACATCTAGCCCTTAAATCTGGGGACAAAACCCCTAAGTTGGGAACCGTGGACGGTCAGGACGTACCGTCGGTCGAGCACTGTTTCCAGCCTTAGAGAAATAGAAATTTGTAAAAACTATTGCTGTCGCGTATTGGCAAATATAGTGCGATAGGGACAACAGTAGCTGTTACTGAAAATTGAGCGTAAAAATTGCAAAAGTCGAGGTTTGGCTCGCGTTGATATCCTCCTCGAAAATTAGATATATATAAAAGAAATTTACCCAAAGAATAATAAGTAGTTATTCTAGGACTCGTATGTTTTGCTTTTTTTATAAATTCTTATTGAATCTCCACCCTATACGTCTTTAGTGGTGATAAAATGTTTAATTTTGTCATTTTTGAAGGCTTCTAGTTGTTTTGAAACAAGAGTTATCGAAAAAAAAGACATAGAAGCATAGAATGAGTAAAACTATATTTGACGTATATAAATAATTTCTCTAATGGTAAAAGCTAAGGAGGAATCAACTGAGAACGTTTCTATGGGAAAAACATTGCCCGGGAGGCGGGCTCTTAATTATTGTCAATTCTCTAGAAAGCATGTCAGAATACCAGAAGAATAAGTGTCACCGCACTCGGGCCACCGACAACAACCACAAAACGCCCGCCACCGGCATATTTCTTGTAGTTTCCATACATTTTATATGGACTCGCCACACACGGTACGCCGGTGGCCGCCACACGCTACAAGTCGTCGTTGCTCGCTTCTTGTGGCCTGCACTGGCCACTTAATGCGCCGATACAAAACGCCGCCACACGTCACTCGCGCGATTCCCCACCCCTCTCTCCCTTGCCTTAGTCGGCCGCTGTTGCGCGCTTCAGCCACTTTAGTAGCCGCTTCTAGCTTCTCGTGGCGGCGTTTGTGGGTGTGGCGTGTGGTCCGTGTGCGGTGACACTAACTCACGACCAGAGTCAACAGTCGTTTAAAAATCTCAATTGATAATGATATGCTTTTGTTTTGTGTCCATACGGCAGAATCACATTATTCACTTTGCAATCGTGCTGCGGATTGGTGCGTGCCACAGACATGTATGGAAACCGAGCGTGCATTGTAGTTACTTTATAGTTAGTACGATAGTTAAATTTATTTTGTTAAAATAGTATGTGGTAGTTACTTAGTTGTACGTGGGTACTAAAATATTATCCCGTAACTGGTAGTAAATTATTATCTATTAAAATCATTAATTGATAAAAATCATAAAAAAAAAAAATTAAGAGTTGATATGTCTAGTATGACCATTAGTTTATTCCCCAAATTTTGTTTTATATTTAAATACCTACATACCTATATAATGCCGAAATTACACTAAGTCGCTAGCCCGAATACCAGTGCCAATGGAATTTGGGTAAACGAGTAAGTGTAAATGAAAGAAGTCGATTACGCCCTTATTCGGGTAGATTTCTTTTTGTTTACCCGATATTACGGTAATAGGGGCTGCAAGACGGTGCAGCCCATATCACAGTATATTATTATTATTATAACAAATCACTGAAGGCCTACAATAATAGATGTTATTTTTCTGATCAGGCCTGAGAGAAGGCTGTATGATAATTAATGCTTTGATTTTTGCAAATGAACAAAATAAAACTTCACATATTTCATGTCAGGCCGACGACAACCAATTATTCGTAACTCAACCGGCCAATAGTGGAAGATGCGTAAAACTGCAAAAAGAAACTGATTATCTGTAGTACTCAACCCTGACATTGGCAGAATTGTCTAAGGAGACAACAGCCAGCCTTTACTAAAATAGAATAGAATACTTTTACTTTTAAAAATGCTTTTTGTGAAGTGTTAATCAGATAAATGTGAGGAAATATTCTAAGAAAATGCGAAATTGATGGCTCTGTAAATAATTGGCAACATATTTTATCAAATGTAGCAAGGTAATGACGTCGTAGGAGATCTCATAATTTTTAAGATTGTGACTTTACCAAAAGTTCCTGAGCCCCTTTTCATAGAAATTATAAATATTCAGCCATTCACCATTAAATATTATTAAGTACAATATTTATACATTGCTAGGGCAGTCGCTCATACAAAATTTTACCATGTCCTTTATGGTATGGTATTAAAGTTCAAATTGACTTTAAACTATTATTACGAATCGTTTGTACACTCCCATGTCGATGGCTCCTACGTAAAAGGGCCAAAATGCCGCTTAAGCCTTTTTCCAATTATTTGTGCAATGAGTTTATTTAGACCTAATCTATAATATAAAAAAATAAAAAAAAAATTTTTTGGCTATTTCAAAAATAAATTTTTAGGCATATGGGCGTATACGCACTAAATAGTTGCGTATAAGGCCCGATGAAACGATCGGTCCATGTACAGCGTCGAGGAATCGCGACGGGGTGCGGTGAGCGGGCGGAGGTACCGCTTCAGTCGTTCTACTCAGTGTTTGGGAACTTTCCGTCGCGACAGTGGCGCTCGTGCGTTTGTAGTGTAAATTTATATATAATTCAACTAGTTTTAACGGAAATGCTTCCAAAAAAAGGTATGCGGTTAACAAGAGCTCAAAAAATTATAGATAAAATTATGCATCAAAACAACAGCACTGATTTAAGCTTCGAAGACGAGGTTCAAAACGAAAATAATGACACGGAATGTACAGGTAAGATACAAAGATCTATTTTGTCTTTTAATACATAAATTACATAACATCAGTGTGGTAATCAATTTTTATAGTCACAAAATTTATTTTTGTAACTATAAATTTACCGAAAACCGTGTATAAAGGCGTAAAGTCACATCTGCCTTTTTACGTAGCTTAATTTATCATAAATCGTTTTCGCCCATTTTTGAATTTTAATGATTTTTGTACTTAATGGAAAATATTTTAATATTTTTTATTAGTTACAAGTATAACTATGCGTTTTACAAAATAAGCTAGTGTTCTTATTAGCTAGGTATATATATTTACTTAATAATATGCCATGGCGTAACTGCAGGTGGGTTATTTGAATTGAAGTTATTATTTGTTATAATTATATTATACAATACCAATTTGATTTGAAATATTATATATCTTTTGTTGCAGTATCTTCTCTTCCATCTGGTGCAGAATATGCAGTTGAAGATTTATCTTTTGAAATTTTCGTTCATTCAGACTTACAGCTAACAAAAACTGTTGAAGATGATGCAGAGACGTCTCCTATTGATAAAACTGAATCTGTAATTTTTAATACACCAATGCCGTCACCGCCGATGTCATTTTCAGCTTACTCCAACGTGGATAGTTCTTTTGAAAAGTTTCCATTTACTAATTCAGACTATTTAACATCAACGCCAGAGTTAATCGAACCTATGGATGATAACTATGAAAATCCGAGTTCTGTTATATCTAGTGATATACAATCCTCTGCATCAGTTAGTGAACCAGCTGTATATTCGTCAAGTGACGTTTTCTCACCATTTTTAAGAAATAGGAAAAAGAAATATTCTAAAAGAAAAGATATTGGAAGACTCAGACAGACATATCAAAGAGAATGGATAGATATGAAACGGAAACGCTTGAAAAATTTAGGCTTGCAATACCAAAGTCGGGACGGTAAACTAAGACGTGCAAAAACACTAGGTGCTTTAAAATGTTACCCAAAATGTGCATACAAGTGTTATGAAAAATACAGATCCTCAACGTCAAAAAATATTTGATAGATTCTGGGCTGTTGGTGACCATTCAAAACAGTGGGATATTCTAGCTAGGTATGTGCATAAAATTAATAAACGTAGAACTATCTCTGAAGACTCACGACGCACG